TTTCCCTGGGACTTCAAAGCCCTCAAATGCACTCTTGGCCAGGGGGAAAGGAAGAAATAATAGGAACTATGCACAGGAACCACGTCATTGGAGCATTTTCTCTGGACTGACATGGTGCTGAGACTTTATGGCAGCATCTCACTGAATCCTCCCGCTCACCCCACATCCACATTTCACAAATGAGGAAACTGAGGCACAGACTGCTGTCATATGTTCAAGGCCACACAGCTGGTGGTGGCTCAGCTACAGTGCCACCCTCTCAAAACGCCGCTTCAGTGGTCCCACCTCCAGCTCATGTCTGAGTCACTGGGGACGCTGACGCCCAGGTGCTGCCTCAGACCAATATATCAGAGTCCCTGGGAACAAAGACTGCAATTTGGTGGGTTTTAAAAGCTCCCCAGGAAATTGTGCCATGCCTTTGGGCTAGAGGTCCCCTGCCCCTTCCCCTCCTGCCACTCGGAAGGAGCACCCCACAGCTGGTGTGGCAGGCATGACAGGGTGGACCTGGAGGCTGTTGCAAGCACCACAAAAGGTCAGAGAAAAAGGAGGCGAGTCCGATGCCAGGCTGCACTCAGGAAAGCATCCTCTGCTCTGGCTGCCCCAGGAGAAGGAGCAGAAAGAGCAGGCCCTAGCTTGGTGGGTCACCCAGTGGGTGTCTGCATGGTTGGGGGTGTTCCTAAGGCACAGAACACAAAATCTCCCTCTGGCCCCAGGCAGTGCCCAGACGTTGCCCCGCCCACCCGGGCAGCCTGAACTCTGCCTACGTCTGGTGCCAGCCCCTCGACCCTTCACATTCCAACAGGGACCCCAGGAGGCAGGAACAGACAGGGCTTTCAGAATGTGTGCCTGCTGGCGGGATGAATTATCACCGAGAATGATCTGCCATGAGCACAGGGTGGCATTTCACGTGCCAAAGGTTGGCTGGCCCGCCCTGGCCCTGGCTGCTTGGCTCCAGGGCCCTCATTCCAGCTGTGCAAGGACAGAAACTTTATTCTCTTCCATGCGAGAGGCCTCCACCCCTCACCATTTGCGCAGACTCCCCCCAATGCCTGTCAGTCCCTCAGCCCCACCCAGGGGCCTCCGCCTTCCTTATGGCTCAGCACCAGAACAGATTAGACAAGAGTGATTCAAAAGTCAATTTTCCCAGGTCTTTTTAAGCCAGGGATTTTACTGACAGGGAAAGTCATTGTTATCAAGATGTCCACCCCAACCTGTTCTGGCTTTTCTGCATGAGGCCAGGCCCTGCCAGATGCAAGCAGTTGCTGTGGCCTGGGACAAACTCCTCAGGGAAGCAGCCAGGGCTTTTGGAGGCCAACTGCCCTCAGTTTGACTCCCAGTTCTGCCACCTGCCATTTGTGGAACTTGGGCATGCGGCTTGAAGTCTCTGATCTCAGTTTCCTCATTTGTAAAATGGGGAAGACAACCTTGATCTTCCAGGAATGTGGTGAGAGGTTGAAATGAGATCAGGGATGTGAAAAAGCTCTGGAAATGGGAACATAGAGGGCACTTAGTGGGATGCCTGTCTAGGTGGGTGCATGCAGTAAAAGCTTTTATCTGGGCACTAGGAAACCAGAACCTAGGAGGTGCAGTTCCACAGCAAAGAGAGCACAGCGCCATTATTTCAGAAACCTGCTCAGTGTGTATGGGAAAGGGCAGGAGATGCATCGGGGGCAGGGCGGGAGGAGAAATGTTAAACTGGGGAGTCAGTGTGGCCTTTGGGAACATGTGTCCTTTACAGTTAGAAGTAGAAATTTTAATTTCTAGAGCAGGATTCAGGCTTGAGAGGTACATGAGTGAGTTACCCCAGCATGGATGGTTGTAAAGAAACTGTCAAAAATAAAGGAGACAAGAAAGAAAAGGAAGGAAGGAAGGGAGGGAGGGAGGCCCATGACCTCAAAGACTGACGTAGGGTGTCACCCGCAGGGCCTCAGGTTGTTGCAGACCCAAAGTGAATTGTCACCAAGCGCAGGCATATCCTCAAGACTGATGGCCCTCCTTGCCTTACATAACAGGAAGCAGAGAGGGCAAAGTTCTTTCATCCAGTCTGTCTGCTCAGATTGATTGGTGGCGGCTGTCCATGCGAGCTGCCCACCCAGGCCCAGAACAAGGGAGGCCTTGGAGCGGTGAGCCACGTCTGCCACGAGAATAAGAAGTTAGCAGGGTGGAATGTATCCTACATTTTGCCATTTCTATTATAGAACACCGTCTAAATAATACTCTCACCCTAGTTTTTGCCTGGATTTGTGTGGCAGCCTCCACACCGATCTTGTATCTTCCCACCCTCTGATTCTCAACTTCAGCTGCTGGAATGAATTTTCTAAAACGAAAATCTGGGACCGGCCTGCACCTCTGATTCTCAACTTCAGCTGCTGGAATGAATTTTCTAAAACGAAAATCTGGGACCGGCCCACGGCTCACTTGGGAGAGTGCGGTGCTGATAACACCAAGGCCACGGGTTCAGATCCCTATATAGGGATGGCCAGTTGGCTCAGTTG